ATCAGCTTTAGCAGCTATTTTTTGAAATATTGGTTTAACATGTTCCCATGCTTTTTCGCTACCACCAGCATTACTGATGGACCATAACGAGCTCCATCTTCACCACCTGATACACCAGTACCAATATAAAGAAAACCTTTCTTTTCCAATTCTTCAGCTCGTCGCATTGAATCTTTATATAGTGAATTTCCACCATCAATAATAATATCACCTTGTTCGAGTAGTGGAATCAATGTTTGAATGAAATCATCAACAGCTGTACCGACTTGAACTAAGAGCATAACTCGACGAGGTTTTTTAAGTAATTGAGCCAGTTCTTCAACAGAATGTGCACCAATAATGTTAGTTCCTTTACCTTCATTCTGTAAAAAATGATCAACTTTTGATACAGTTCGATTGCCACAAGCAACTGTAAAACCATGATCATTCATATTCAAAATAAGGTTTTGGCCCATAATACCCAAACCAATAAGACCAATATCAGCCTTTTCTTTATTGTTTGCAGCCATTATTGTATGGATAATTTGTCCAGAAGATGAATCTAAAACTCTTGGTAAATTGTGATGAGCAATTTTTCTCGTCAGTATGAAGAGCACGACATCTGTTTTGTCTTTACACATACTATGTAAGAAGGGATTATTCATAATAGATGGCTTGTAATAACAGAAGACGAATGCTCAACTGACAAGGAAAAATGCGTAGATATACTGTGAAGGAAAGTCAAAATGTAAGCGTTCTGAAGTGTATCTTTGATAAATGAAAGGAAAAGACAGAACGCAAAAATGCAAGGTGTAAGCACGGAGGATATGTCACGCCCTACATACTAACGAGAAAGATTGCTTATTATAATTTACCAAGAGGTAAATGATCAAATCTGATCAAATACATGTTGCGATGACGAAAGCGTGCGGGTTGATAGCAATATCGACCTGCCAGAGCAATATTCTACATTAAAAAAAACATGATCAAATATTGTTAGTGTTTCAGGATACTTTATCCATCACGTTTTTTTGAGCACATGGTTTTTAGCAGCCAACGATTAATCTATAATATGTTTGTGTCATTTTATTTTGGATACGATTTTAGTGAAATATGATAATTGGATAGATTGCGTAAGATGTTAATCAATAGAATGAAAAATTTCTTTAGGTGAATAATTGAAATTATGAAAATAAAACATGTTGTCTCTCATATTTTTGAATATAAAATTTTTTTCGGAATAGTTTATTTAGTATATAATTAAAATAAACAATATCAATGATTACAAGATTTTTAAAGCAAAGAAGGACAATTCATTCAGAGTAGATAGAGATTTTGAGACTGAATCTAT